TTATGTAATAATCTTATAATTATTATTATTATAATATTATTGTGTGTGTTTATGTATATTAAATTATATTATATATAATGTATATAAATATAAATGTGTTCATATATATATAAACAAAAGAGGAACATCACAATTGATACTATTTACCTTTAGACACCCTATATACATATCCATACATATACCTATATTTTTCAGTATAAAAGAGAAAACTAGGAAGTTGCGAAAGAAGGAAACGGAGAAGGAGGATAGCTGAAAAGAGGGGAAGGAAGCAACGTCCTGGATAAATTCCAGATATCGAGTGCACTGAGGAAAAAAAAAGGCAACGAAAGGAAGGAGAGAGAAAGATAAAAAAAAAAAAAAAAATAAGTAAGAGATCTTCTGGGTACGACGTTGGGGAAATTGAGAGTTTACCGTATTATCTTTCGAAAAAATCTTCCTTACTAGCTTCTTCCTTTTTCTTCATCCTTCCTTCCTTCCTTCCTTCCTTCCTTACTTTCTTCCTTCCTTACACTGTTCTATCCGTTTTTTTCCTCTCTACTTCTTTTTTACTTCTTCTTACTTCTATTTTTTCTATTTTTTTTTTTCTTTCTTTCCACTAGCTCTTCTTCTTCTACTTCATTTTCTTTCTATCTTTTTCAACCGGTAATCGAGAAGACCACTTGAAGCCCTTCGAGAACTAAACGAAGTTCTTTCATAAATCCTTTTTACACTTCGATGGGCCATAGTAAATCCTCTCACTCTCACCATCTCTGTCTCTCTTTCTTTTTCTTACACCTCTTCTTTTCTCTTTCTTTCACTCCCTTTAAAGGATCATCATCATCATCATCATCATCATCATCATCATCATCATTATCATCATCATCGATTTTTCTTCGGATAGTTTAAGATATTTCCTGACACGTTATAATCGATATTATTCTATCAAAGGTACGAACATCAACTCATTTTTATTCGTAGAATTCTAAAATTAACGTTGGTTGGTTAATTGGTTAGTTGAAAAAGTTTTCTTATTGTTAGTTTGATTGAATTTATTTAGAAGAATAAACAAATATTTTCTTCTCTGCAATTGATAGTAAGTTGTTAATTTTTTTTTTTTTGTTAATCTCCCTTCTACATTTATTTGTTAATTTCTCATTTGAAAAGTTATATTTAATTATCGAAAGATAGGTTTTACATTTTTTTTTTATAATAATTGGATTTGTATCGTAACTATAATATTTAAAAAAAAATATATTTGCAATAGAAAGAAAATTTCAAAAATGATGGAAAAACGAAAAATGTAATTATTATAATTGATTAATTATTCAAATATATTCTATAGATAATTAATTTTTGACATTATAGATATTTATTTTTATAATTAATACATATTCAAATAAATAAATAATTTTGTATATATTTATGAATTTTACAATTGATAAATCATTTAAATAAATTCTATACATAATTACTTTTAGATATAAAATATATTATTATTATTATTATTATATTTATTATATTTTATATATTTTTATATTATTATATTATATATTTATATTTTATATTATATTATATTTATATTTATATTAATATTTATATTTATTCAAATATATTATTATATTTATATCTTATATTATATTTAGAAATTGCTATATTTATATTTTATATTATATTTACATATTAAATTATATTTATATTTACATTTATATAAATATATTATTATTATTATTATTATTATAAATAATTATATTTTTTCGATATAATTCTATGACAAATTTTAAATTTACATAATAAAATTGACAAATTTATTTGTGAAAAAATAAAAAAAAAATAAAATTGTTATAATCAATATTTTATATTGTTCATTAATTATTAACATCATTTTCCATTTCTACGATATATCAATATAAACAAGATGTGTTAGTTAAACGTTACTTTGACGTATATAAAATAGGATAATTGTATATACGTTCTCATGCTTACCTGAGTATATATATATATATATATATATATATATATTCACATAAGATAGAAAGAGAAAGAAAGATAAAGAGATAGATAGATAGAGAGAGAGAGAGAGAGAGAGAGAGAGAGAGAGAAATAGGAAACTTTGGTCTAATCTCATGAATATCGTCGAGAAATGCAAATGGTGTTTTCCAACGTTAAAGCGAAGTTTCCCATGTTGCGTTTGCGTTTGCGTTTGCGCTTTATAGAAGAAAGAGAAGGTGTAGGAGGTGTAAGAGGAGAAAGAGGAAAGGGTTTACCATCGATAATTGCTTCGCATACCGCACAATCTTCAAGCCGAGTTTCTCCTATTAATGATAACGCATCGCATTACTTAAGTATGCTACACCGCGTCTAACATTTCTTTATCTTTCTTTTTCTCTTTTTTAATTTTTCTTTTTTCTTTTTGTATCTTTTATCATAAGCCGCTTTTCTTCACTTCGTTTGGGTTTACTTGTGCGTACTTAAATGTTAGTATACGTAGTTTTATTCGTATGGTAATTTTCAATTGAATTTTCAATTGAGGTTTGTTACTTCGTTAGTTACATGCAAACAGATACGAGATTTACATATAATATATTTATTTATATATGTATATATACATAAATTATTTATCATAAAATATATATATTTATAAAAAAAATATTATATAATAATAATATATATATATAATATTATATTATTAAAAATTAAAATATATAATATATATTATATATACAAATATGTAATAACTTAACATTAATATTTTAATATTGTTTAAGTTAAAAATTATTAAAAAATGATTAAATTATTGTTATTTAAATTAAAATTAATTTTCATATTATTAATAAATTATATTAAAATAATATAATTACATATTTTAATTATATTACATATATTAATATATATAATACATATTTTGTATATTATATATATATATATATATATAATAGCTTGGTATTAATATATTAATTTTAATATTATTATTATATATTATTTTATATAATATAGTATATTTATTATATATTATAGTATAGAGCATATTACTATATATTATATATTACCTAGATGAAGGATCTAATCCTTATTTTACTATTGCTTGAAAAATAAAAAAATTAAACAAAAAAAAAAAATTGGGAATGACGAATAAAATGATAAAATAAAAAAAGACAAAAAATCTATTTTTTTCTGAAAAACTTATCAGTATATATTTCTCAAAGATATCACAATACGATTGAAAACTGTCACCATCATTGACATTTGAATAAAAACGTGAGAATACTTTTAAAACTTTTACGAATTGAAATAACGAATAATCCAACCACCAAAGTAACCAACAACATGTCATAAAAGTTACAGCAAAATTTTCTTTAAAATCAACTTTATTTTTCTGTAACTTCTTTTTTTTTTTTTTTCCTCTCTAGAAACTTTCGATTCTAAACTCTTTGCGTAATCAAGAAGAGAGGGCATGTTTTTTTTTCCTTACTTTTACGTATTAAGCATTAACGTGGAGAAAGCTTTCGTGGAAAATAAAAAGTTTATCGAATTGAGAATAAACAGTTTTACAGTATTCTTTTCTCGTTCTTTTAAACACAGTATTATCTAACTGTTTTTATTTTATTATATTATAAAATATATATTTAAATGTTTGAGTACTATTTATTGTATAATATTATAATATAAATGTTTTGCGTTATTAGAAAAAAGAAATTACATCTTGTTATTAGAAAATTTAAAAATGATGAAAAATTTTCATTTAAATATCTAACATTAATTTATATATATATATATATATATTATTGTAATTGATTGCATATGTAAAAAAAAAAAAATAAAATAAAATATAATAAAATAGATCTTTAATGTAACTTTTTCCCCCCCAAAAAAAAGAAACAAAAAAAATTTACAAAATCTCAAATCCCCGAGATTATTCCAAAACTTTTTTGGTAGACTTATTTTTTTTATCAACCATAAAATCCGTTGAAAAGCTTTCTCGTTTCGTCTTGTCTCGTCTTCGAATGCTTTAGAAAAGAAAAGCTCTCTTGATTACACTAGAGTTTAGAGTCCTCGAAAGTTTTAGAAATTCTAAAGGAAATTTTGCAGTGGCTTTTACGAAACTTGAGAGGGAAAAAGGGAAGGAGGGGGGGTATGGAGTAGTAGAACGATTTCAGTACTTTATAAAACCGTGTATAGCGTTAAAAAGTAGTCTATTTAATGGTTTAAAAATACGGTTCAATTTAAGAACTTTTTTAGAAAGAAATATACGAGAGAAAGAAAAAGAAAGAGTGAGAGAGAGAGAGAGAGAGAGAGAAAAAAAAGAGAAAGAAAGAGAGAGAGAAAAAAGGATGAGAAGAATAAAAAAATGTTCTTTTCATGGAAATATCAGTTTTTTCAAAATATATAAAAACAAAAGAAAAATAATAATACTAATAATAATAATAATAATAATTCATGATTTTTATAAATTTTGATTGATTTATAATATATTAAAAATAATAATAAATAAAATTACAAAAATATAATAGAAATAAAATTAAAAAAAAAAATAATAATAAAAATAAAATAAAAAAAACAAGAAAACTACTGTTACTAATAATAATTAATTTATATATTTACAATTAAATATGATATATTAAATTTATTATAAATTAAATATATTATATAATAATATTTTATTTAATATAAATATAATTAAATTATTATACATGATATTACATATAACATAATTAAATATTATAATTATATTTTATTTAATATAAACTAAATTTAATAATACATAATATTTAAATTAAAAATATAATTTAATTTAATTTTAAAATAAAATATAATTAAATTTAATTTTAATATATAATATTTGCAATTAAATATTATGTATTAAAATTAATTTATATACTTACGTATGTTAAATGTTAAATATTATATATAATAATAAAATATAATTAAAAAACTACTACTACTACTACTACCAATACTAATGAACTTTCCATGTTTTTTAGTTATTATTATTATTATTATTATTATAATTGTTATTGTTGCAGGTGATCATCGAATCAAAAGGGAGTTCGAGGTAGAAAATTCCCATGTGCGTTCGTAGTAACCGTGGAAGGCCACCACGGTCGAAAAAAGAGAAGGAGGAGCATGACGTAGTAATCGGCGAGGGGGGCCCTTGGGATGCTCCTGACTTTTGGTTAGGGTCGTATGGAGGGGAAGGACGAGACAAACCCGGAAGAAACTCTATTTTTCAATCTAAACACCACCACCACCGTCGACACCAACGACACCAAAGATTTATTTCTAACATTTCCTGGCAAGAATTCACCCTACACGCTACTTCAGGTATTATCATTTCCTTATCTCATTTTCTTCTCAGCTATCACTTCAATCAATCTATTTTCTAATTTTTTTTCTAAGGTAGTTCAGATTTATTCTTTGTTTATTATTTGTTTTTTGAAGTGAAAACTTCTTTAGAATGGGAGTGATCTGAAAATTAATTAAACGGAAACGAAGCTATGTAACGAAGCTATGAAACGTCTGCCATACTAAATAATGAGAGAAAAAAAGACAAACATAGGATTTAGGCTGCGAGGGAATGAGACGGAATATAGCTATACAGTTTTTCCTATTCTCAGTCTCCTCTTTATGCTATGCTTCGTAGTTATCGCTCCTTGTTGTATATGTGTGTGTTTGAGTGCGGCTGCATACTACAAAGCGTAAACACACATATTCTTTTGATACTCGAAATGTTTGTAGGTAGGAGCGATAGAAGGGTAAAAGAATAAACAGAGATAAGCACGTAGGTATGCGACAAAAATATAAGGTCCAAACGAACCGACGGTCGACATAAACAAAGAAGGTGCGTGGTATGTTTTTTTTTTTTACCAAACGTGTCATTTCTTTTCTATTTAAAAATGTTTCAATTTTATTGAAAAATTAATATTAAATTATTTATTTCGTAAATATTATTCTTATTAATGATTATGAAATATATAGATTAAAATAATTGTATTGTCTGCAAAATTTTACAAAAAAAAAAAATTGATTATAAGATACATGAGAGAAAAAGAATTAGACAACATTGTAGAATACTTTTTTTTATAAATATCCAAAGACATGTTTTTTTAATTATAATGTTTGCGTATTTAGGAAATTTATACTAATTTTTCAATAAAATAGAAAAGTTTGTAAATACAAGAAACTCGATTACGAGGCTTTTTAACGAGGCTTGTTTACGAGACTCTTCAACGAGGCCTAATTAAACACACCGTACGGACTTATCGGAAAGACCCTACGGACTTATCGGAAAAAACCTCACTACTTTTCGGAAAAAACCTCACTACTTTTCNCTCACTACTTTTCGGAAAAAACCTCACTACTTTTCGGAAAAAAGCTTACTATAGGACCTATATAATTTATATAGGTGTTTACTACACTAACAGAGGTGTTTAGTTACCATGCATTTTTTAGTTACCAGAAGCAACTCGTCTCATTTCTTTGAATTGAAAACTTGCTTACTATGTAATATGTTATCTATTTATATATGTTTTTAATAAAACGTATATTAATTTTTGAATGTGATAACAATAATATAACAATAATAATATTATAACAAATAAACCCTACAATTATCCTACTCCTGATATTCTGCAGTCGTCTCATTCTCTCGAAACTTAGATTTTCGAAGGTTTCACTTCTAACACGTTTGATCTGCCCACACGATATTTTTTTTTTTCGGTGAAGTTGGAGGCTAATTTTTTCCTTCATTTTACTCTTTGAACAATGTACAATATGCTAAACTCGTTGAATTATAAATCAAATTAAAAGTTTTTTTATTTATAAAAAACTTTACACATATAGAAGAAGTGTAATAACAATTGATTGAATGAAATTCACCCGTTAAATGGAAACGTTTAACTTTTTGAAATTCATCCTATATCAAACGGAGTTCTCATTCATTTCATTTCATTTCGTTTCGTTTTGTTTCGTTTCGTTTCATTTTGTTTCGTTTCGTTTCATTTTATTCGATAAATGGGCGAAATATTTTATGGTAAAATATAAAAAGAATATAAAAAATAAAATTAATATTAACAAAAGTAATATTTAGTTGAAAAGTTATATCGATAATATTTCATTACGAATTTATTTCAAAAAAAAAAAAAAAAAAAAAAGGGTATCGTATTTTTACACAGAATTTTTAATCTACAAATATTTCATATTTTAATAACTAAAAAATATTATTCGAATAATTTTTATATATAATAAAAAAAAATTTCTTGTTATAATATATATATAATATTATTTAATTTTCATATAATAAGAAACATACTATTCAAATAATTTATATATAATATATTTATATAAAAATAATTTTTATATAATAAAAGAAATATATAATATTAAATAATAAAAAATATACTATTCGAATAATTTATATATAATATATTTAAATAATTTTTATATAATAAAAACATATATAATATTAAATAATTTTATAATATAATTAAAAAAACCTCCTACACTCCAATAATTGTTATATCAAAGTATTAACAATGTCATTTTATTTTTTGTTGTTTTAATCATCAATAATATTCCATAAACAACTTTGATTGGAAACTTTTAAAAATGGTTTTCATCTTAATGCGGGGGAGGTATAAATTGAATAATTGAAAGAGTAACTTAAGTTAAGAGAAGTACTCTTGCATATTATAGTTTCATCTTTGGTCTAGGTCATGGTCCATTAGTTCACTGTCATATAAAATATGAATATGTATTGCTATACATATATATATATATATATATGCTTATGTTTATGAGAAATACAAGGATAAAAGGATATGGCTAAATTCTCAACGGGAAACCCTTCCTACGATGAAGATAGTAATAAATTAATAGATTCGCGTTCTGCTAAAATACAGACTACCAAACAGAAATAGAGAGAGAGAGAGAGAGAGAGAGAGGGAGAGAGAGAAAGAGGAGATGAGAAAAGGTAGAACAGGAGAGACGAATGAACGTTCACCTATTTGATTAATGGATTGCACCTCTGTGTTTAAACTTCATCGAATGTAACGCAACCTTCGATGTTCACCAAAGACTTAATCTCTCTTTCTCTATCTATCTTTCTATCTATCCATCTTTCTTTCTTTATCTAACTTTCTATACTTGTCACGCACTATGAACAAATTTTAATTGATTGTAAATTCAAATTTTTACTACGATTTTGTACGAAAATAAAAAAAAAAAAAAAAAGGGAAAAGGAAAATAAAAAATAGAAAAGAAATTTTCACGTTTGTTCGAATTTCGTTTCTAAGTTTTTTTTTTTTTTTTGAGGGATGGAAGGTGGATTTTTTATCGAACAAAAGATGAAAGATTATACACAGAAATTTTGTACGATTTTGTACGAAAATAAAAAAGGGGATAGGAAAAGGAAAAAAGAAAAATTAATAAGAAAGAAATTTCCACGTTTGTTGAAATTTTTTGTTTGCAGGTGGGTAAGGGGTGGGGATTTTTTTTTGATCGAATAAAAGATAAAAGATTATACACAGATAAGGATGTGAAACAAAAGATATAAAGGGGATAAAAGAGATTAAAAATCTTGGATCAAAGAATTTCGTGCTTGGTAAATCACGATTTTGTAGGGTGTTGTTTACCGGAACGTTGGGGGAATAGTCGAAGGGTGAGGGTAATACCCTCTCAAAGGGATGTTTTTCTCTTTCCTTCTCTCTTTCCTATAGCTTCAAAGAATAAAATAGAGAAAAAGATATATATATGTAAAAAAAGAGAGAAAAAAGTCAAGAAGGTCGACGAGTAGGGTAAACTGTGAAACATTAGAAAAGAACAAAAAATTTTCTTCCTTTTAATTTTCCTCCTTTTCTTTTAATAGAGGATATATAATAATAATAATAATTATTATAATTATTATTAATATATATTATTATTATTATTATTATTATTATTTATTAAATTTAATTTAATATGTTTTTATTAATTTTAATTTTATATATTAATTAATATAATATGACAGGACAAAGTCCTAATAAAAAAATGAAGAAGAAGAAAAAGAATTAATATAAAAATAAATAATATAAAATATATAAATTAATATAAAAATAAATAATATAAAATAATATAAATGAATATAAAAGTAATATTAAATTTAATTGTAATTAATATAAAATTTATTATTTATTTTATAATTGAATTTTAATTTAATAAATAAAATAAAAACAAACAATTGTAACTACAAATTTCTGCTTATATAAAAATATATATCCCATATTATTAAAAAAATTATTTTTTCTCTTTTTCCCCCTGCATCCCACTCTTTTTTTTTTTATCAATCTATGTTAGATAGATGAGATATAAGAGAGATATTTTCATTAGTGTCATGTCAATCGAAATACGAGTTCGAGATTGGAATACCATGGATGCAATGATCTGAATCGTGAAGCCAAGCATTTAGCAGAGAGAGTAAAGAGAAAGAGAGAGAGAGACGTAGTTTGAGAAATTTTGGGATTGTTTAGAAACCAAACTAGGAATAACTTATCTACTATAAATCGGTCAAGAGTATACAATGGTTACAATGTAATTGCAAATATTTCTGAGAATACGAAAATGTAAAGAGAAAAGGAAGAAGAAGAAAAAAAAATAGATCAGATAGAAAAACAAAAAATGTGATAATAATTATGGCAATTAATTAATAATAAATTCAATCCAAATATGTTCTAAACGTTATACTTTATAACTTATTTTTATATTAGAATTTTTTATATATTGGGTTGACAACTAAGTAATTGCGGATTTCACCAATCATTTTCATTGAAAAATCCGCAATTACTTAGTTGCCAACCCTATATATATATATATATATATATATATATATATATATATATATATACTCTATTATATATATTTTTATTAATATTATTTTATAATGTATTTTTATTTATTATATTTTTTATTAATTCTACGATTTATATTATAAAAAAAGTATATAAAAATCTCTGTTTGTACAATTTTGAAAGAATTCAATTTAATTTTGGGGTATGTAATTATGCATCTATATATACATACTAATTTTATTCATTTGATGATACCCCAATACATTATTTTAAATAAATAAAAATATAAGAGTCTCGAATGTCTCAAAACTTGAAGTGTAACATAAACAAACATTATGAAGTGATGTGAGAACAACAAAGTGTAATATTAAACCTTGTCACATTGGGAAGATTTGCTGAGTCCTTTGTAAAACTTTGAACATGACACATCAAAGATAACATGGCTAAATAGAGAGATACAAAGAGGGGGTAAGTGGGTGGAGGTGGAGGTGGTTGAGAGAAAGAGAGAGAGAGGGAGAGAAAGCAACGAGAAAGTAAATTTAATTTACATTAGAATATCTAAACGATATAGGAAGTTTTAATCGTTAATTCATTCATTCATTCATTCATTCATTTAGTTAGTTAGTCAGTTAGTTAGTTAGTTAGTTAGTTAGTTAGTTAGTTACTTATTTACTTCAAACGTTATTTAATTCAAAGGTTTGGTCTAATATTAAATAGTGCATGTTGAGTAAGGAAGTGAATTATCAACTATTATTCAAAGACTTGTTATATATATTATATATATATATATATATATATGTCTACAATTTAATTTAGTACATTTCGAATGGTATGATATTATTTTTGTTTTTTCTTTTTTTTATGCACTAACTTGAGTATAAAGTTTCTTCGTAATTTTAATGAGAAATGTTAAATAGGTTTTGTTCATATTTTCTATACGATTATTTTCGAATCATTTAATACCATTAATAAATATATTATAATATATATATATTCAAAAGAAATATAAAACAATATTGGATGATACTATTTTTTTTAAATATGGTTATACATAAGATAGTAAACGAAAAAAAATTATATTATTAATATAATATTATATTAATAATATTATCAAATTTCTTTTTATATAATTTATATATATAATATCAAAATTTATATAATATAAATTTTTAATAGAAAAATTTTTAATTATAAAATTTGTAATATAAAAATTATATAATAAATTATATAATAAAATATATTATATAAAATAAATTTATATAATATATTTTTTATATTTTATATTATATAAAATATAAAATATATATTGTATACTATAATATATATATAATGTAAAATATATAAAATATAGAATTGTTTTTTTTTTACCATAATATTATATTAATAACATTATCAAATATATGTATATTAAAATATATAATCAATATTATTATTAATACAATAATCGAATAGATTATATAATAATTGTTGGTATGTTTTTTTCATTAAATAGGCAATAATAATCACTTTGGTGCTGGTAAGCATCATCATTGGCACTGTCATCGGAAACATCCTGGTTTGTGTCGCGGTGATCCTCGTTAAGAAACTACGACGACCTTGCAACTTCCTTTTGGTTAGCCTAGCCGTCAGTGATCTCTGCGTGGCACTTCTGGTAATGCCGATGGCATTACTATACGAGATTTCACATAATTGGACATTCGGACAAGCTATATGTGATCTATGGGTTAGCTTCGATGTACTTAGTTGTACAGCCAGTATTCTCAATCTGTGTATGATATCTCTCGATCGGTAAGTTAACCTTTTTAAATCTTTAATATTATCATATTTTTATCATATTCATTCTTCATTATTTTCTTCTTTCTATTTTTTATACTATTCTTCTGTATTATTTTATTATTATCTAACACTCGTTGTTAACATATTTAATAAAATAATAATAATGGTCAACAAAAGTTCTTAGAATGTTTTATACAAATTTGGTTTTGTTAGCAACCTCATTGGTAATTGTTTTATATATAAATATATATATTTTTTATAGGTTAGAAATAAAATACATTTTCAAGTTTACCACTTTGAAGACTTTACAAATAGAAATATGACAAATATAATAAGAAGTATAATATATTAACAAGATATTTAAATATTTATTATGTTTCATTTATACTTGTACAATATTAATTCTTACACACTTAAAATCTCTTTGAATAATATCTTTATGGAATATTTGTAAATTTCGATCAATGTTTTATTTAATTTTTACATTAATATTAATTTTCTTTTATTTTTTTTTTTTTTTTGATAAATAATAATAATAATAAGAAATACATTCAAGAACTTTTGAACGAGCCTGTATAATAAAATCGTTAATTAACTGGCCAACATTGGCATCGGCGGCGGCCATTGTTCTTCTTCAAGAGTGTATTCTCACTGTTATGTGTTTAACGCGTTTCTCTCGCGAGATTCGTTGCAAATATTTACATTACGTGGGGTCATTTAAACGCCATCATGGGAATCTTAGTCAAACACTTGTTTCTAACGTTTATTAAATTTATCGGTGTTGTGTTGATGTTGGTGGTAGCAGTGGTGGTAATACCCTAGTTGAAACAAAGCAAAGCATAGCAAAGTAGTAACAATAATAAATAAATTAATCAAAAAATTAAAAGTGAAGTTAGAAAGATTGAGACAAAACTTACAAAAAAAAAAAATAATAATAATAATAATAAAGACAAACTTTAAAAGGTCTATTAAAATTCTTAGCATTTTTTTCTCTCTCTCTCTCTTTCGCTCTTATTTACTTTCATTCTTTTTTTCTTATTATCGGATAAACAAAAAGTTCAAATATTAAAATCTTATTGACTTTTTATTCCCTACTATACATACATGAGTTACGTTTATGTATTTCACATATATTACATATATGCTATTTTACATTTTTTTTTTCCTTTTGTATGTATAGGTATACTAATTTTTTTTATGTTGAATTTATGCTTGCAACAAATTTACAAAGTGCAGTGAACAAAAAAAAATATAAATATTAAAAAAGATTAAGTAAAGTTTATTATATATATATATCAATATATAAAAAAATCATTAACCTAACCTCACATATTTTTTAACTAAACATTCATACGTACAATAAAAGACAAATTTTTAATAGATATTAAACCTTTTACCAAGTTTACTTTCATTTTCATAATATTATAACAATATATGCAAAAATTATTAACCTAACCTAACATATTTTTTAAACAAATATACATACGTACAATCAAAGAAAAATTTTTAATAGATATTAAACCTTTTACCAAGTTTTACTGTCATTTTCATAATACAACCTTTATATTAAATCCTATTAAAATTTTTCCCTATTTGTTTTTATTTTTTTCCTTATTTTTTTCCATCTCACTAACTGCTTCGTTTCACTAGGGTATTATAACATAAAAAGAAAAAAAAAAAAAGTAAAGAAAATATTATAACAAATATACAGATAGAAAGAAAAAGAAAGAAAGAGAGAAAAAAATGGAAAGGGAAAGAGAGAGAGAGAGAGAGAGAAAGAGAGAACAAAAAGTGAGAGAAAGAAAAAGAGAGTCACAAACACACACAAAAAGTCAACTTTTGTTAACTTTGAACATATTTTTGAAACAAACCTTCTAACTTCGTTGTTATTCTTCTTCTTTTTCTCACTTATGTTACTCACTCACTCTCTCTCTCTCTCTCTCTCTCTCTCTTTTTCTTTCTCTCTCTCTTTCTTTCTTTTTCTCTTTCTCTCTCTGTTTTCTCTCTCTCTCTCTCTCTTTCTCTCGATCAACTCACGTCAAAGGTACTGGGCGATCACGAAACCTCTGAAATACGGCGTTAAGAGGACACCTACACGGATGACGATCTACGTGCTACTAGTTTGGTTGGTAGCAGCTTGCGTTAGTCTGACGCCATTATTGTTTATCGAAAACGCTTATTCCTACTCGGAAACTGGACCCTCGCATTGTACGGTCTGCCAAAATTTCTATTATCAGATCTACGCAACTGTCCTCAGTTTCTACGTACCGCTAACAGTCATGATAATGGTGAGAGCTTAATATTGTTTTATTATTTAACACTTTCACTGCCATCTTGACGCCATGGTGGTTGGTCATTAATGACCAAAACGTATGAACGCAATTTTACAATTGTAAAATACTAAATGAAAATTGAATGTTAGTGTATTTGAATAGGACATACATATATACAGAAGATACTTTGAAATACAAAATAAACAATTCAAAATTTGGTCATTGGTGTCCGAAGATGAACGCAATTTTACAATTGTAAAATACTAAATGAAAAATGAAAGTTAGTGTATTTGAATAGGACATATGTACAGAAGATACTTTGAAATACAAAATAAACAATTAAAATTTGAACAACTACAATTTTTTATTAACCCTTACCGATCGTAGATCACGTGGGAAATGAGTGACTTACAATTATACAAATATTTTATTAATAATTAAATTATGAATAATTTAGTATACTTGCAGTACTCCTTCAAAAAAAAAAAGAATAAATCTAAATAAATAATAGTATTGAAAAAAATATTAAATATATAAAATATTATATTAATAATAAGTAAAATAATAATATTTGAACAATTTTGTTGAATATTTACCGAAATCATTTATAATTTATTATTAGTGAAAATTATCAAAATTAAAATCTGACGAACGATAAGGGTTAACATTTGTTTATTATTAATTTACAATTATATTTTTTCAATAATAAATAATAAATAATAATAATAATAATAAAAATAATGCTGAAGCGTCCTGGAAAAAACATATGATTTCAAAGGTGGCAATCAAAGGGTTAAATTATATATTTTTTTTATTCCATTTAAATAAGTGTAATAAAAAAAAACCCTTATTTATTTAAGGGTTAAATTAATATATATTTTTTTTTATTACATTTATTTATTATTTTTCATAAGCTTATATGTTGCTTATTTTTCATACGCGTTTATTATATATGTTGTGTTGCGTTGTATTGTATTTTATTGTAGTGTGTTGTGTATGTTAGTATGAATGTGTGGGTGTGGGAGGTGTGTGAAGGTGTATCATTAATGTCGAAGTTCAATCGACCATCAGCTAAGCTCATCTGTCTCTATCTTTCTCAATTTATGACACATATGTATTATTATACACTTTCTCACACACACACATATATATATATATATATATATATATATATATATATATATATATATATATATATATATATTATACATAGAGATAGATGCATATATGATACAAATAATATACGCAACTCGTACAGGTTTATAAGGACATATATATGTGTGTGAGTGTGTGTGTGTGTGTGTGTGTGTGTATGTATATATGCAACCTAGGGAAATCGATTTTCTCACTGGAAAGTGTACCTTCGGACACGCGAACGTGAGCAGCAACGTGTGAGCTCATATACGAAGAAATATATGCATTATTCAGTGTACTTGTTCATCCGTTCGATCCAACACCCTTTTCGGTGTCCTGCATTATTATTAACGTAGATATTAGTAATAGTAATAATAGTTTGGTGTTTAAGTTAAATATTTAATACTAGAAGAAGTAGATAATGGAGTGGATATATATCTCTATCGAATTGATTCAAATTTAATCAACAATTCTTTCCTTTTGTTTTTTTTTTTCTTTTTTTTCAATTTTATATTAGTTCATCCCTTTGATGATATTTCTTTTTTATTTTTTCTTTTTTTTTTTTTCAATTATCGTACTTAAGTCTTTACACGTGTAAATCTTTCGTATAATGTTTCATGCATATTTAATGAGTATTACATGTATATATGTATATATAAGTTGAGAACAAAATATTATATCCATCTTTTTCTTCTATTTTTTTTTTTTTTTTTTTATTAAACTTAAGATATCTCTTTTCGTTTTTCTTTTTTTTTTAATTTCGTTTTATATTATTATAATTGATTTTTTTTTTTTTTTAATTTTATTATAACTTATATAAGTAAAATATTAATGTTAACATAAGATTTTAATCTTACCTCGAAAAACGTTTCAACTTAATATATATTATTTTCATCCCAAAGAATATATATATATATATATATATAGATAAGGAAATAAAGAACATGATTAAAATCCTGGTAGAATTCTCTATCTTTCTCTTTTTTCTTTTTCTTTCGAGATGAATTTTTCATATCTCCAAAAGAAATTATTAATTCTTCTTCTATTCAAGTTTAAACTTTTTAAACCATTACCATTACTCATTTTCTATTAAAAAAAAAAAGAAAAAAAATATAATAAAGAAATCAAAGTAGAAAAAGATAGAGACTACATAAAAATCGATTTAAAATATTTCATATTATTTAAAATATTATAAATTATATTATAATAAATTATTATATTATTTTATATGATATTATTACATTTGTATTTCTTTTTGTTGTTGTTGTTGTTGTTGTACTCTCCATCGTTGTTGATAATATTTTGGAATATTTGTTAGAATTATTGAATATTAACGAGAATCATATGATTACACAGTAAAACATGTATTTTATCATTATCATTATCATCATCATCATCATCATCATCATCATCGTGTAACCAAAAACTCATTCTGTAGAAATAATAACGCGGTAAGAGACGTAATAGAATACAAATTAAAATAAACATCGACACATGTCTATCGAATTACCTGGCTTGGCAACCACCATACCACAGTTTTGCAAAACCCATTATTTTACCCATAATAACGTGTTACCCGTTGAATTTGAGTGGTCATCAGATATATATATATACATATTCTCATACAAACGTTATTTTACCACTGTGTTGTTCAATCGTTTCATCGTTCATCATTCTTCATCATTGAACTATATATATATATATATGTTATTTTACATGTTATATACATGTTATTTTTTAATGAGTTAAATATATGCATCTTTTGTATTTACTTTTTCTTTTTGTATTTATTTAATTTTTATTTTTGTTTGTTTGGGAGAAGGGGTGGGTTGGTTTTGCTTTTTTAATAAACTTAAAAAACAAAAAATTATTTAGCCTATTTATTTGTTTGTATATTGATTTATTTATTATTTTATATTCGTGTGTGTGTGTGTTAGGTGGTTACTGATAAAAAAAAATATATACAATAGATTTCGTGTTTTGTTTTTTTTTAGTTCATTTTATTCGTAAAGAGTTTTCTATCCTACAATTTTGAAGTAACGTGATTTTTTTTTCCTCATTTTTTTTCCTTGGTTTCGTTTGGTTTAGTTTCGTTTAGTTTCGTTTAGTTTCGTTTAGTTTCGTTTAGTTTCGTTTAGTTTCGTTTAGTTTCGGTTATATAGTAGTTCGTTGTTTTTTTCTTTCTTTCTATTATTTGATCGTAGAAAACAAAGAAGCTCAAATTGGTTTGGATCGATTGGAAAAAGAAACAAGTACTTCCCAATAAATTCGATTTAATCTCGTGGCTTCAAAATAATTCATCCAAATTTTCAATACTGTGTGTGACATTTCTCTTCTAGGGTTTTCCATTTTATCTTTTTTTTTTATTTTCCGAAAAAATTATTTTGCAAGTAAAAAGATTAAATATAATATATATTGTAAATTGTTATATAATATCCAATATTTTATTTTATATTATATAAAATTGTATATTAATATAATTTTATATTATTTAATTTACAATTTTATATTATATAATTTATTTTATAATTTATTTATATAAATAATTTTTAATATAGTATTATATTTAATATAATTTCAATATTTAGAAATAATATTTACAAAATATTGTAATATAAATATTTTATTATTTATTTTATAAATTTTTATATAAAATATTTATTTTATTTTATTTTATATTATATAAAATTTTATATCAATAATTCAATATTATTTAATTTAGAATTTTATATTATATAATTTATTTATATAAATAATTTTTAATATAATTTAATATTATTTAAATATTTAGAAATAATATTTACAAAATATTATAATATAACATTTTATTATAATGTTTATAAATAATTAGAATAATTTGATGAATTCATTTATTAATTACTTAGTATAAAATGTTAATATGAATAGTAAATGTTAGTTAACAATAATTCGTTGATATTTGATAGAAATCACAGGTTTATCGGACTCTTAATTAACATGATCTCTCAGGTATACTACAGAATATTCCGTGCAGCACGTAAGATAGTTCGCGAGGAGAGAAATGCTCAAAGGCACTTGGAAACCCAGTATTATCTGAATATCGAACCACCTGTACAACAACATCAGACGACACCTACAATAAATCGTCAATTTAATTCGGACCTACCAACGAATCATGGAAGTCCACCAATCAAACAACACAGAAGTTCTAGTGCTTCAACAACGGTAAGTAATATCATACTAATTTCAAACTATAACTAATATTTGTAAAAAAAAAACAAAAACACATACACATAAAAACACATACACACATATATACTTAAACGTTGCATGTGCAATATTGCATCAATTAATTCAATTCTTTTTTATTTCTACTACGAATTTGATTCATTTATTTATAAAACGAGAAAAAATGAACATCAGCAAAAAAAAAAAAAAAAGAAAAAGTAAAAAACCTGAAGCTTTCAGCCAAGTTTTAAAGGGATTGGTAGTATATAGTTGAATGATCTATTTCGGGTAAGGACCAAGCAGCAGCAGGTAGCACAAGTTGCAATTTTTCACAGTGCTCTCTCATAAATATTGCATCGAAGATATATGTCGAAGAAAAAAAGGGTTATCTCTTAAAAAGGATCCAACCTATTCCAAATTGTTCAAGTATTTGTTTGTTCACACTGTGTGTGTGTGTGTGTGTGTGCATTAAACGTAGAAAAACGATGGGGGAGGGTTGAGGGTGTATTTTAGGGTAATTGAAAAACAAAAAATATCTCAAATTATTGAAAATAAAATAAACTACGATAGATAATAAAAAAAAAAAACAACAACAAAGATTAGTATATCAATTATTATAGCGCAAAGCTAATAATTATGGTATTTGGAATTAGACAATTCTTTTTTAAAAACTTTAGTTGCATTTGCAATGATATTTTTTATATTCACCTGTGACACTGATTGTATAAGATGTCATTTATCTTATAAAAATTAGTTTATTATCCGACCTTTAAAGTAACACCAAATAACTAATAATTTATTTTAAATATTAATTTACACAGAAATGTTATACGAACATGCATGCCCATACACATGCACCTGTCCTTGAAAAAGTGATTATGATCACTTCAGGATCTCACCTTTTTGTATTCAGAAGTACGAGTATAGTACGAGAAAAGTGAAAATCATTTTCGTGACGTTATACAAACACACACACACACACACACCTGTCCTTGATTTGTTTCATTTGAAAATGTGATTAAGGGTTCCTCTTTTTATGTATCAGTTTTTTAAACAAACCCAATTGAAGCAAATTTTATATGATTGACCTTCAAACCTTTCAGACAATTTATACAATGCCCAAAATAAATATATATATATATATACGTCATATGTAGATAATAGGTAGGTGATATGTGTCACAGGTGAATACGTACGTTAGGATACTTCTACTACTACTACTCTATTTTCCCATAAAGCGTGCTAGGAATTTTCTTCCCTTTTCAAAAAGTGGGTCGTAACTACGTGAGAATCGAGAATAAAATTCTTCACATGCTCTTCACCTACAACGAGAAGAGAAAGAGTGAGTGAGAGAGAGAAAGAGAGAGAGGGAGAAGACGGTGGAATAGCACCCGATAAATTGTGAACCCTTACATGACGTCTTCATATATATATATATATATATGTATATGTCATTTCTAATGAATTTTTTCTTCTTTGAGCTATACCATAATATTTTTAATTACTTTTAGTATCGAAAAGATTTAAGATGAATTTTTTTTTTGAATTAATTATCGATGTATATACTTATACTACTTTTTCAAAAATATTTTAAGTATTACAGTTTTTCATACATATTTTTATAAAATTCTTATTTTGTAATATTACTGCAAAGAAATATCAAATTAAATATATATTTAATAATAGAGATTAACTAATAATATATATTAATAATTAATATTACTATTAAATAAATATATTAATATTAATAATAGATTTAACTTATTTTAACTAATTATAATAATTAAAAAAAAATAGAATTATAATAATTTCAACTAATATTAATTAATAAAATTATTTAATCTTAAAAATGTACAATTTATAAATATTATATATAATATATTTCAATAAATTATAATATATTAATAATATGCCCTCGGCCGCCTCATGGCAAATACAAGAGGATCCAGACAAAAAATTAGGACATTACTGATGGCGGTCACCCACTCGATCCTCCTCTATGGGGCTGAGATATGGGGGGATGCGATGCGGGTCAAGAAATACCGACAGGCGATGGTGGCGGTACAGCGGCGGGGGGCACTTCGCATTGCGTGCGCTTACCGCACTGTCTCCGCGGCAGCGGTGTTCGTGATAGCTGGCGTCATTCCCGTAGACCTCTTAGCACAGGAGTGCAAAAGGATATTCGCGTTATGTGTAGAATTAGGGCGGGAAAGGGCCGTCACAGAGGCGCGGACAGAGACTCTGAACAGCTGGCAAACCCGCTGGACGGAAGGCGACAAAGACAGGTGGACGAGATGGCTCATAACGGACGTACGATCGTGGTCGGAGAGAAATCACGGGAAAGTAAATTTTTACTTAACTCAGTTTCTCTCTGGCCACGGATACTTCCGCAGGTACCTGTACCGTATGGGGAAAGTAACGTCCCCGTTGTGCAGATACTGCGGACATACTCAGGATAACGCGGAACACACATTTTTCGTGTGCTCGCGGTGGACAGACGCCAGACGGACGCTACGAACCAGGACAGGAGATCTGACCCCAGACAACATAGTGTTCGCTATGATTCAGGATCAGGAAAAGTGGGATGACGTGACGCGTTATGTGACGAACGTACTTAAACAAAAACGAACGGACGGATGCCTAGAAGGCTGACCAACAAACTGAGAGGATGATCAGACATGCCGGCCAGCCCGAAGTAATGTGCACAACAGTCCCGGACTGGTTTGGGGACAGCCGAAGTCAACCACTGACTTCATAAAACATATATATATAATATATTATATATTAAAATTATTATTATATTATTATTTATTATTGTATTAATATACAAATTATATTATACAAATATAATAATATAATAATATGATATATATATATACAGGGTGTCCCATATAACTTCATAAACAAGTATTTGCGATAATTTGACATAAAAATAGTTTAAACAAAAATTCATTTACTTTTGATTAACAAAAAATTGCAATAAAGAAGAAGTTTGCAAAAATATTTTTTTTTGTAGTAGCGAGGGGAAAAGAATAAGAAATAAGTAGTTATAAGAAAGTAGTATAAGGAATATGTGACACTGTATGTAGCAAGAAGGTTATGTTCAAACCCGCGAGGGTAGACATGGAATAAAGTTTATCAGTTATCAGTTATTTTTTTTGCACGTTTTTAAAGGCTACCTTTGTTCTCTTAAATGACACAAAATATTTTTGAAATTATAGCATGTATTAATACGAATTCAACGAACTGATATAATATGACCGTGAATATAGTTATATGGGACACCCTGTATATGTATGTTGAAAACGATAAGATATTTGAGATAAACTATAGTTCGTTGAGAAAGTTAGACCAAAGTGCAGTGAGCATATTACGAGAACATGAAAGACCACTTGAGAAAGTAACAATTGCAACATCATCATGACTTTCCGTTGTCCGACTTTTACGAACTTCCAGTGAAAGGGATGAACTTTGACGAGAAAAAGGAAGGAAAATTCGAACAGATGGGATGAAAAAAAAAAAAGAAATTTGCTCAACTTTTTTCTTGTCCACCCCGCAAGAACATCCTTTCGAGATAAAAATACTAAAAAAACTAACGTAGTATATCCCGCCCACTATTATTACTTCCTAAACTCGTTGGATAAATAGTTTTCTTTTTTTATCTAACAATAAGTTTACAAATTTTTCGATTTATATAAAATATTCATACTATATATATATATATATATATATATGAGATATACTACTTGGGTCAAATTTTATGAATTTTACGAAATATTTTGTATGTACGAAGTCAAGCAGGAAATTAAGAAAGAAAATTTTCTTTAAAAAAAAAAAAAAAAAAAGGAAGAAAAAACAAAAATGATTTCTCTAAGGAGGAATAAAAATAAATGAGAAAAAAAAAACATAATATTATAAATATAGCGTGAGCCACGAAAGTTTATATCAGAAATTTTTATCATTCAAAAATTTTTACATGGGGATGATAAAAAACAAAATTCAATCAATTACCTTTTTTTAAATTTATTTTTCAAAAACTTTCTGAATAATTTAAAATATAATTTTTAATAAAAATTTTTTTTTAATAAAATATATATTATATTGTAAATATAATATATTAATATAATTTTATAATATAATTTTTAATAAAGTATAAATATATAAATTTTTTTTATATTTTTCAATAATTTTCTAAATAATTTAAAAAATAATTTTTAATATAATTTTTTTTTAATATAATTTTTATAATTATACAATACAATATAATATATATAATTTTGTAATAAAATATTTATAATATTTAATATAAAATAAAAAAATGGAAATAAAATAATTTTCTAAATAATTGCTTCTTGTTTATTTTTTCTTTTTTTTTTTTTTCTTTTTAATTGTAACATCGCCAAATTTATATTATTTTTTTCCAATAGAGAAATTTTTCGACACTCACAGTTTGTATATACGTAAATTCGAATTCTTTTTAAAGAGAAACGATGAGGGTATTAAAAAAAAAAAAAAGAAGAAAAAAGAGAAAAGGATTGTCGAGAATAAAATGCGCGTTATCTTCTACGTTACGATAAATTTTCTTGGTTCTTGCATCGTAGGTAGATTATTATATGGGTCAGAAAAAAAAAAAGAAAAAAAGAAAAAAAAGATCATCATGGCGAATAAGAGGAACACGTTGAATTTTATATAATTTTTTTTTTTTTTTTGACTGGAAAAAAAATATTCAAATATCATAACCCTTTTTTAAAAAACGAAGTCCTCTAATAATTTCTCATGAAAATATTTTAAGGATGCATTCTGATAAGTTTGTTTTTTTTTATTTTTCTTTGAAAATGAAGTTTCCAAAAGTGAAACGAGATAAAAGCTTCGAGATTACGGTTGCTATACGTTTACGTAATCCCTTTAAGGGTTTGATATTCGTGACACACATTACGCGACTTTTATTAGTAGTAGTAGTAGTAGTAGTAGTAATAGTAGTAGTAGTAGTAGTAGTC